CGCAGGGCTCACCCCTATCACCATTTCTGTTCAACATCTACTGCCACGACGTATTTGTCCAGAACATTCCAAACCATCAGGAACGATTCACATCGACCTATGGAACGACACTGCCATAATTAGACAGAACAAAACACTAGAGAAAACAGTGAGAAAAATACAAGAACCAATCGAGGATACTATGAGATGGTATGGTGTGACAAATGGAGACTGAAGCCAAACCCAGAGAAATCCCAACTGATAATATTCAACCATAATATCTCCAATAATTCACCTTCAGTCAGTGTGAATAATCATATAGTGAGAACGAGCACACTAGCCAAGTACTTAGGAGTTCACTTGTATCCGAAATTGAACTTTAATCACCACTTTAAACTCATGAAGAGCCAAACATTTTCGGAACTTAACATATAAGAAGAGAGGAATTAGCAGAAAAACAGCAGCTCACATTTACAAAGCCATATGCCGCCCCATACTCAAATATGCTCACCCAATATACATCAACACCAGAAAGCCACCCATGAAGAATCTAGAAGTAGCAGAAAGATCTAGCCTGAGAGCAATCACGAAAATACGGCATCCTCAAAACCCCCTTCACAACCCTCCAAATGAACTTCTCTACCAACTCACTAATGTACAACGAATTAGCACAGTATACACCCTAGCTTTTCTGCTAGGGTGTATACTGTGGAATTAGCGAGAGGCTGGAAAAATTAGCACAGAAGTTCTCTAACAATGGAAGTAACCTGCAGATCATTCAAACCCAGTGCATCCAAAGACACCCTACAGAGACCTCAAGTTACAAGTTTCTAATAAACACCTTGGTGGAATGCATCACCAACATTGCAGAAATGCCAAGAAATTAAAAAATTGATCAATCTTGAACACTTTCCTTCTCACTCACATCAACAAACAATAATTCACATAAATATGATTATATTTTATTATTCAATCAATGAAATGAAATACAATAGATTTCAATGTATTACAGGCTGAAGGACTTCCGTCGGTGGCCAATTGGGTAACCAATAAAGCACTTTTATTATTATTATTATTTTCTAAATGGGTATATTTACCAGGTCTTACATTTCTGAAACTTGTAAATAAAGATAAGAATGTTTCAATTATTGCCAAGCAGTAATCTATAATTCTATGTGAATGGCAGGAAATTGGCAACAAATCATTATCAAACATACTGGACGAATTTGAAAATGTCAATACTGTGGCAGCACGTCTGAGGGTTAATTGAGGTCATTCGGAATTTTTTTTATGAACAAATTATCAATGATACGTTAGGCACGTCTTTTTACTAAGGACAAATTCCAATGATTATTTTTTTTACATGTCAAAATGTGACGTTTTCCTTGTTTCAACCAATATCAATGCGTGATTCTAGCCAATCATTCGGAATCATACTGATAATTTGTTAGTATCAAATTACCGCGATGACTTATTCACGTTTGGATCTTCCTTCAAATGGATACAAAAAGGGACCCATAGACTGCGATGTTGATAGGCTGTTTTGTTCGACTAACAAGTCTGTTCGAACAAAAATTGCGCACAACCGAAGTGTGTGGCTGTAAAATGTTCGTTTTCGCTGGCCACACACTTTAGTTTTGTGTCTTTTTTGTTCGAACAGACTTGTTCGACGAACAAAACGGCCTACCAACAACGCAGTCTATGGGGCACCTTTAGAGAATTAGCATTGACTTGACTTGGTTGTCAAGGTAACGCAGCTATTTGTCTCAATGTAAACATTTCGAATTCAGAACCGACGCCATTGTTAAGTATCAGTCAGACTTCGTATTTTGTGATTTTCTCTAACGTTTAAACGAGTTGGTATAGGTTCGGAAAAACTTTACAATTATTATTAGTCATTAACAGAAACCGACATGAGCACGAGATTTGGTCAAAGCTCGGCTGATTCAATACATTTAGCTGTCGAACAAGCAACACCAATCAACACCACAAAAAGCAAGAATACGATATGGAAACAGTTTTTGGAGTTCTGCCTTGAACGTAATTATGAGTTGACTGCAACAACCGAGATGAAACAAATCGCATCAATTATGGAGGACTGGGCATATAACATGCGAAAAAAAAATGGAGAAAACTACAAAGAATCTGTTGTCAAAACTTTGTGGAATGTCACCGCAAAACTTATCCAGGAAAAATATTTCAGGGAGTATAATAGAAACATTGATCCGTTCACTGATATTGAATTTAAGACCGCGCGAGATGCGCGGAATTGCAAACGTCGAGAACTTCAACATATTCCTGAAAAAAGAAAAGCATCTTCTGTTGCTCTCAAGAAAGAAGAAATAGAAAAAATGATAGCAGCATGGGACGAAAATACTCCAAATGGCTTACAAAGGAAGTTTTATCATACTGCTAGCTACGAATTGGCTTGGAGAGGCGGAGAAGCGACAAAAGCATTAGTACAGTATTTTAGAGAAGAAATGGATCATTATGGAAATCAAACTGGAAGGATAGAATATAATCCAATAATTTCTAAAACAGCACAAGGAGGATCGCACAGGTTATCTGATAGCAAATTTTTAACGCCAAATGAAAATGAGACTGAAAAATGTCCAGTACGTCTCTTTCGGAAGTTAATGTCGAAAAGAAGTGCAAATATTCAAATTGATCGTTTATTTTTAACACCTAATCCAAATTGGCAGCAACCTTTGTCTAAGGGGTGGTACAAAAATCTTCCGGTAGGACAAAATGAAATAGCAAAATGGACAAAACAAGCGGCCCGAAAGATTGGCTTGGATCCTAGCAAAATCAAGGTTACAAACCATTCACATCGTTCTTCTGCTGTGACACAACTCGCTAAAAGTGGAGTAAGTGAGCAGCAGTGGTTGAAGATAACTGGACATTCATCTGCAAGCTCCATCAAACCCTATCTTCAACTTGACAAAGAGCATCACGCAAGCATGATAAACAACTTGAGAGGAAACACTGTTTCGACCTCTTCATCTCAAGGAAATTGTACAATAACATACAATAATTGCACCATTACAAACGTAAATTGTAAACATTCTTGATTGTTTGATATATAATTATTTGATATATAATTGTTTGATATATAATTGTTTGATATATAATTGTTTGATATATAATTGTATGATAAATGATTGTTCAATAAATAATTGTTTAATAAACATATTCTGGGGCATTTTGCGAAATAGTAAAAAAAATAATCACGCCGAATTACATTCGTGTTGGTTATTTTTTTAAATAATTTTAACTAGATTTAGCACTCGTCTTTGTTGCTATTGAGAAATCCCACTCGTGGACTTCGTCCACTCGTGAAATTTCTATAGCAACAAAGATTCGTGCATCTAGTTAAAATTATCAAAAAATTACCACCACTTGTGTAATTACTGTTGATTATTATTTCAACTGGAATATCATCCCATCGACTAGTCAAATAAAAAAAACCTTGGAGGGGTGGTTTTGTTCTGAGCACTGAGTTAGCTTGTTTGGCCCACCTAGTATATTTTTATGAAGACAATATCTCTTCCATTCTTCCTTGCAAATGTCACAGGATTTTATGGTAGGTATTTACTTGAAAAATTCACATTCTTTGAGTAAATTTTAATTCTAAATGATCTATCTCTAAGGTTTATAGCATTAATTTTAGAGTTTGTTTGGAAAAATCTCTATGATTAAAAAATTTTAATATTCCTGAAAATAATGAACGAATATCTATTTAAAACATGATTCATTCATGAAGCAGAAAACTCATTTATAAGATAATAGTATCTTTTGGCAGTCATTACATTTTTCACACATCTTCAAATGCTTTTATACAGATAAAACCGGAGATAAAACATCAAAGCACACTTGAAAATGCCTCATAATTTGTGATTATTATGAACACAATTTTTTAATCATTGCCATCATGAAAGTCCCATATAGGAATAGATGATGGTTTTGAAACTAGAAAAACCAACATTTTTTTTGTATATGTATAAGAGCCAACCATCGGCGATAGGCCAAGGTTAAGTTAGACCATTATTCAATACCCAGTCTAGAATATGACCAAAGATAAATAGAAAATCAACAGAGGTCAACCTGACCATGAATAATTATTCAAGAAAAACAAATCTGACAGTAAACACAAGCAAGACATTTTGGAACACCCCTAGGGGCATCCCAGAAAGTAATATCATTTCTTATTACCTCTACAATACTGTGAATTTATCAACACATTACACAATTTTTAAACTATCACAAAAGTAATTTGAAAAAGTTTTAGGATTGTAAGAGGGACTCTGGGGTACTTTCAATTTTCAGAGTGTTCTTTTTGAAAACTAAAGTAAAAGGTGTTATTTTGACAAACTGCACCTAGAGATTGAATATCATGATGGCATAGATAATTAGGTAACTCCATGAATGAATTGATATTATCATGTACATTCTACTATTTTTCTATTCTAGTATCAAGTTTTATATATTTTCCTGACCCTGTCAATGCCTATACTGATGTATTTCAGTGGATGGAAATAAAGATTTTGTATAGTATAACTATAAAATAATGAGTGAGAAGTCTCCTTGAGTAAACATAATTTCAAATCAATTATGACCAAATATTAATGTTCTTCAATTCAGGTTTCTATAATTTGTTTGTTCAAAGGTTCCTGACCTTAATAAACTGATTTTCATTGAAAAAAATTACATTGAAAGAACAGACAATCACCTTATACATATGATAAGTATAGATATACAGCTGGTATTTATAATAAATATAGGAAATATGTCACCATGATATTTCAAGGTGAATAGAGCTACATCATTATTTTATGTTGGTCTGTGGAAAATTAGTCTTGTTTTTCATTTATCAATCAATTGCTTTTAATAATTGATGATTTCCTTTAGATGAAATAACCAAACATAGGAGGATAATGTACCTACCTGTAGGTATTGTTTTCCATCTGCTATGGCTTGAAATATATGAAAAACAAATCAATGGAAAGGAAATAAATACTCACCAGAAGGAAGTTTTTCATTATCCCAAACAATATTTCCTTTGTGTAAAATTATCTTGACTTTTTTCTTTCCACTATGAAATGAAGTCAAAAGGACCGATTTCTGGATATCGCTAGCCATTTCACATTTCGGGTTTTCGATGTGGCATATTTTAGCAAAACAGGTAATTAAACAGGTTTACGAAATAAATTCATATCGCTAATGGTCATGGTCTGAAGGTTCCTTTCCTACAAAAGTACAAAACACTCCCACCATGGTTTGTTGTTACTCGGTCGACTGACGGTGACGACTGACTGTGACTGACATGGCGCTGGCACTGACATGTTTTGGTCCGGTTGACAGACAAATGATGTTGACAGAAAAACGTCTCGGGTCAGTGGTTAGGAGGCAATTGGGACGGACAGGTCCTTTTTAGGTGAATTATATTGATATGCCTCGGTGGATTCAGCGTGTACTGACGTCAATGCCTGCATGCAGCATGACCATGACAGTAACGTAACAAGTTTGATAGCTGGGGCTGCGGACGTTCAAGTTTCAATTTTATAATAAAAGTTTCACGTTTATAAGAAAAAAAGAAGCGAATCAATTATGATTTAAATTATCGAATTTCAATTTAAGCTTATCATGAACTTTTTTGTTTCATCAATGTCCTCTAAACTAGTGTAAACCACCGTTTATTTTAGATTTCAATAAATGTCCATCATGTAGGAGGGTGACGTCTTCGAATGAGAATACGACACTCACACTGTAATACCCTATATTTATCTTAAACCGACTACTAGCTTACAAGACAAAAGACTCGAGAGGTACAATCAGAAATGGTCTATATTTCGTATGTAGTTATATCATAAACAGCTCATCTCCACTGACTCATTGCCTTGTCATGCCTTTGACTCGGCATTATCCTGCACGGCCATCCGCCATTCTGGTTTAATTCGTCCTCGAATGTCCATTTTTCCTAACCTGACATAAGCATTTCACCTGACATATATGCCATCTTAGGGCTGATATGCCATCTGAGGGACGAATATATGCCATCACAGGACTGAACATATGCCATCAGAGGCTCGAACATAAGCCATCAGAAAGCCGAACATATGCCACCTAAGGACCGAACAATTGCCATATGTAAGAGCCAACCTTTGCCGTCTGAGGGCCAACATTTGCCATCTGAGGGCCAACCTTTTCACATATAACTGATTATTCTGAATCTCGAAACGTTACAGCTGCTCCCCTACTACCAGTACTACCACAGCTTCATAGGGGCGACTTGATCTTTTCGTATAACGATCTTCTTTCACTTATTTATAATAGTCATTAGGAAGAACTTTCACCACTTTGAATGGACCTCGATACTTTGGAAGAAGCTTCTTGCTTTGATTGTTTGTAGCGAAGCTAGTATCTCGGAGGGCCCCTCTTTTTATTGAAGGCAGTGTTTTGTTAAGCACTGTTATCCTCTAACCTTCTTGCTGCTTCGGCTCTGATTTCAGTTATGTCAATTGGACAGACTTCATCAATTTATCGTTGTCTGTTCTCAATTGGTAGCCGAAATGTAATTCTACTAATTCCACATCCCAATTGTCGGAATCCGTACTTGCCCCTGTTAATTGTAGCAGAGGAGCATCCAGAATTGTATTGTTCCATGCACATCCCACTGTTTTCGCAAATTTATAGAAAATTTTTCTCGTAAAACGGCCCCACTCACGAAACTTTAAAAAAAGACTCCCCCTGGGAGTGGAATGAAGTTCATAAGGAAATTGCGAAGGAGTTGAAAAATAGAATATCTTATTCCAAACCAATTCTAACAACATTCATCCCAAGTTTACCCACATTTAGTCTACACTGATGCCGATAGGGAAAAAAAACCAGTAGCCTTTATTCAGTAAACAAACCACCGACCAAGAAAAAAATTACCATTCGTTCGAACTAGAATTATTAGCAATCGTGAAAACTTTGGAACGATTTAAATATTACTTGATGGGTTACAAATTTACGATTATCACCGATTGTAACGCGGTCAAAAAAGCCTTACATAAAGAAGGCATAATTCCAAGAATCGCTCGCTGGATTCTGTTCTTACAGGATTTCTGTAATAAGGCGTGCTTTTAGTGATTCGGTGTTTGGTGCTGTTGATGCCAATATGATGCCTTGTTGAATTTGTACTAATTCCACATCCCAATTGTCGGAAGCCGTATATACTTGCCCCTGTTAATTGTAGCAGGAGCATCTAGAATTGTTTTGTTCATTCGCTCAGCTTGGCTGTTACTTCTTGGCATTCCAACCGCCTAATTTTAGAAAACCAATACTGCTGTTTAATTCTCTACAGTTTTTTTTATATCGAAACTATGACAAACTCTCTCAATATGACCTTTTTCTCACAGATTTTTTTCTCTCTTGAGTCTACACGCGTTCTTCTCTCATGTCCTTTTTTTCCGCATAAGTTAAATGAGTTTTGTTGTATTTCACCTGAGAGTATCGTGAATGACTTGTACTTGGGTCATTCGTATTGTTCCGGTGCTTAGGTTGGTCTTCTTCTGGAGAATAGACTTTATTTTTCAAATAAGTTGCTACTGAAGCTAGGATATTTGGGTCACCTATATTTGAAACTTCAACAGCAGATGAAATATTCTTATCGTTGATGGCACCTATCACGAGTGATATTTTGTCGGCGCTGGAAAAATTCTAATTCAGTTTATTGATTTTTGCCAAGTGTTGAAAATGAGAGGTCACCTTTTATTTGTGGTCTGTGATTGGCAATATTCATTAATAGTTCGTAAGTATTTCGAGTACTCTGAAAAGTATCATTTAATATTTTTTTCCATTCCTTCCAAGTGAGCTCTGACCAACTTTTTTCACTCGGAATGAAGCTGAATTTGGGGATGAGAATCTCCCCTTACAGTTTCGTCTCTCCGTTTGGAATTATTTTGTCTCCTTCGGTACTTTCTGCTTGATGAAGATGATGTCGTTGATCTGGAACGCTCTCTCCAGCTCCTATTCCTGGATTTGGCATTATCAACAAGCACACAAAACATAGTAACCACTTCTGATGTAGGAGGGTGAGGTCTTCGAATGAGACTACGACTCTAACACTCTGTAACACCCTATATTTAACTGAAACCGACAACTAGCTTATAAGACAAGTTGTTACTGGAAAGGTATAAACAGAAATTATCTATATTTCGTATGTGGTTATATCATTGACGATAGCTCATCTCATCTGACTCACTGCCTTGTCATGCCTATGACTCGGCATCATCCTGCAATCAGAACAGAATATCTGTTTACAGAATTTGTTCCACAAGATATGTTATAAGTTCCAGTACATATTGTTGATCAGTCAATTGAGAGTAAAAACTTGTTTAGTTTACCTTCAATTTAATCTTCAATGAGTGTTCATCATTGCAAGACAGCTCTCACAGATATATTATGAAAATTGAATAGCCAATATAAAAGGAAACTATTGGGCTATTGCATGCTCTTTCCTCAGGCTGTCTCACCAAATTGAAATGATAAATCCATTCTAGGTAGGTATGTGCTGTAGAGAGGTTTTTATCCTCAAGAACAAGAAATAAAACACTTTGAACTCTTCAAAATTTATAAATAATATTATTGATATATAACATATTACCTATATAAAATAATATATAATAGAAATAAAAATGACTTGAGAATGGGAGTATCATGCTGCAGCAGTGCAACTGATAAAGATATTTCAATGATAGGGTGTTCTCAGATTTCAATCAACCAACTCATCCTGCTAAGGATCACTTCACTGGCAGCATAATATACTTCGGGTTTGATAATGAACGTCCATTAATAATAACAATTAACAATAACTATAACCAAAACGAAATGGAACTAAACAATGATCAAAAATAATAGGTGGATAGGTGTTAGTGGTATGAAAGGTCTGTTCGTTTGTGTTGCTGAACTTGCTAAAGCTGATTTTGTTCCCATAGTTGTCTCTGTTCATGGCATAATGTAAACAGAGTCATAGAAAAAAATCAAGTTTAGCAGGTAGAGAAAACATGATTAACAGGCCTATAGACATGTCAAAAACGTCACAGCCAATAAGAGCATTTAAAATAACAAGAATTGAAATTGTATGTGAATTGGGATGTGTTTCAGACTGCCGTCTTTGGTACTTTTCAAAGACATTCATATATTGGAAATTGATTAGGAAAAATGCGAATATTGCCAACTGAACAATATCACAATCACAGGGAAATCTGATAAAATAATAAGATTCGTTCTATTAAAAAGCATCTTCAGAGATCCAGGCGTATGCTCACAACCATATGCGCATACCTTCACAATCACATTTGCATAAAATATACTTTCAACATGAGGAAAGCTTACTTTATTAGGAGACAAAAAATGACCTATCTGGACATCAAACCACAACTTTTCCTACCGAAATGTCCATAGCTATCAGAAAATACTCCACTTAAAGAACCACTTTCCTTAACCATCAAGTACCGGGTCTTCAACAATGAATAAGTGCCACGTGACCATTTTTGATGCGGCGTCTCTTTTCCACCCACGTTAAAAAGATACGAATGTAGTCTTGGTTGCATAGTAATCTGTCACGAGGTTATCAATCATTGTTGAAGACTCGTTATAAACACCACCTATTAAAAGCGTTTTGTTTGGGTCGATTACCTCGAAAATTATTCTGGATAAACTAAGTCCTATTTCGCAAACAAAAAATCTAAGAATTGTTTGCACAGCTCGAATCCCACGAAACAGGCTGCATTCGCAGGGAAAGCCCGAAGTAAGACAGGCGTGATGCCCTTGTAGAGGGCGAGTGGACCTTCGTTTCTCATCAAGTCTCGGAAAACGTCGCGTATACCGTTCTTATAAGTGCCTTCGGGAGCTAAAAAAAAATTCAATAACAGAATTTTCATTGTGGATGAAATCCGCAGGGGACACAATGTCACGACCCATGGCTACAGGGTGGTGACTCGGGGGTGAACTCGCTTGGGAGGCCGAGAAATGAAAACAGTTATTCGTTATACAGCTACAATTTATTGAAAAAAATAGTTTCATTAGTGGTTCAGACCAACGAGGATCAAAACAAACGTACATCCGACTTCGCAATACAGAGAATCATTACATAACTTGGCACCATGAAGATAGATACGTAAGTACTTACAAAATTATCTCTAGGAGACGCAGGGGATGAACCATAGTGAGTGCTGGCTGATCAGACCCAAACTGTCCCCTTGCCTTATCGGCTGTTCGATATTTATTTAGAATATTTCGACATAGTCAGCGTTTTA